ATGACGACGAATAAAACCAAGCACAGTATATGCTTTAGCAGCTACGATCAAGGTGACTACATATAGGTGTTCTAATGTATCAAATTCATGATTCAGCCATGTTGGATTTTTGTATGGGACAGCGACCGAGTTTGTTTACAAACTCCGTACTTTTCCCCCCCGCGACCTCCTCGCCTATATAGTGAGAAATCTGTATCACCATTTATATACCCACCATGGTTACGATGTTTATGTATTCGTTAAACCTTTGCTTCGGATTCGATTGTAGTAGGGTAGAGAACTACTTCGGCCTAATCGCCAATTTTGGGCCTATCGAGCAGAAAGCTTCAAATAAATCCTTGATTTCAGAGTTAACTAGTCAATTATGCGTTTGGTACGATACTTTAGTTAATAAGCTACGGAACGAAGTCAATGAGAACGCGTGATATGAAGGTTTGCATCCATTATTCCCAAAAACAAAAGAAGCGCTCCGACCGAATCAAATCCCATAGGCCAAAGTGAATTCATTAGCATTTCAATGCGTTAGGCCGAGTTCATAATCTCTTTGTCGGTTGGCAAATTGACCACTTTGTCAAGCAGTTTTGGCGTGACTTTCTACCAGCGATTTCACAAAACTGGACCAACTAATTTCTATTTTTTTATGAAACGCACAAATGTTGGCTACTTTTTTCGAGGTTATAGTAGAAAAAATCTCAAAATAATGTTTCATTTCAAAGTTCGAGTGGTAGTAAATGTCATTTTATCTGCTCGAATGCAGTGGTTAATTAGCCGGGGAAAGTGCTGATAATGTGTCTTCCGCGAGTTTTAGTAGTGATTCGGTGGCCGCCGTTGCCGTGAATCAGTGAGTTTACGGCTTGCACTAGTGCTAGTCTGCTGGTCTCTCGCTAGTGTCGGAGATTGTGAGCAAGCTGAAGGATGCTTCGCTGGATACGCCCAAGACTGGACGGGCGGTAGCTGGTGGCCGTAAACGGTTCCTGGGGAAAGCACTAGACGCAAACCTCCTCCCAGATGACCATGGCAATGCAAGAAAATTAGTTTTCGTTGAAGGAAGTATTACAACAAAGGTAATTGCTATTAGATATTTTTTGCAAACAGTGACAGATAGCAGTACCGTTAGTATATTTAAAATTAACCATCAGATGCTGAAACTATACGAATTTCTATTGTTCATTACATACCAAGTGAAATTTGAGAACGTAAACGTCGGTCATAGCTTGTTATGATTGTCTGAACAATGCGTAAAGAGCAAATTGAAACATTGAACGTCGCGAGAAAGTGGAACTTAATAAAGGACTAAGTACTCTTTCGTAGCTTTTAGTTTTCGGATTTGAAAGATAGTTGGTTGCAGTGGCTAGCTTACTGAGCAGAAAAACGCTGTCTAAGGTCCTTTGATGTTAAAAATGTAAGGTAAGATCGCTTGTTTATCGTGTATTTTGTAAAACTTTTCGTTGTCGTCGGTGCCGGGTTTGAATAGTTATAACAACTTGAGTAACGGTATAATGTTATATGAGTGGCTTGATGGCCTTAGAGCAACCGTTTTTGTTTACTGAGCAGAACACCATGAGTCTAATCTCAAGCCCATCCACATTCAAGATTCGTCGATCGTTTTATTTGCAACTCGATGATTAAAAAGAGCTCGTCTGCCTAGTGGCAAACGTTTTTGCTTACTGAGCAGAAGACCGTGGGTTCAATTCCAAGCTCCTTCGCGTTCAGGCGGTTCTTGACCTGCGTTCAGGCGCGGCTGGTGCTGGTATTGCCTAATTTGAGATCATCAGTTTTTACACATTGAGGATGATAGCTAGTCCCAAGCATCGTCCATTGGTTCTCTGTGTAACTACAGCTGGTCTGATTAGCAACCATGGGCGGTCAATCACGCTCATACTCATGGTCATTCCTTTAGCAACCCAATTTCAATACTACAATACTCATACAATACAAATGATAGATGCAATTTGAAAATTCTAACAGATCCGAAATGGCCGAATTTTAGTAAAAATCTGAATCATTGCCCATAACAAGCAAAGTTTCATTCAAATCGGAGAAAGTCGATTCAAAAATTAATTTTTTCCGCTATTTTGCCTGAAACTGCTCAATATTCCCAGGTAACGTAGTACTCGTGCTGCACATTTTTGACTGTGATGTAGCCTATGATTTTCGAAAGATTTCCTAACTTAAAGCAATGAACTTTTATTCGAGTCTAGTCAGGTGGTTTCGCTTCATACCTATTTCCGTGTTAACCTTCCAGTACTCGCGCCGTTGCACAAAGTAAAACACAAAATATAAAAATTAAACCTACTGACTTTGGAGCTCACTCAACGTGAAACTAAACATGATTCATGAAACTTAATACCCATCGACCAATATTTTGGAGACTATCAGGTTTCAAGAAGCGCTCTCAAGGTGAAAATATCATACTGTTAACAGGGTTGCTTCCACCGAGGCGTAAACACGTAAACACAAACACTGCTATAAGCAAATGTTTTTCGGAATTATTAAACCATTAGATGATAAAATGATTATTAGTACTTGTAAGTTACAAGAAGAGGTTGAACAGTATGTGTATGTCACATGCAACCTGGAAGTATTGCTTTCATTTCGTCACAATCAGCGATCTTGTGATTCGTGAACGTTCACTCAGAGTGAGCGTACACGAATCGTACAATCGCTGATTGTGACGATCTGAAAGCGGAATTGACAGGTTTTATGAGTTAAACACATTTGTTTCAACCTCTTATAGTAACTTACAAGTACATTATATAATTATAACATCTAATGATTGCATAATTCCGAAAAACATTTTTTAAAACTTAAACTGATCATGTTTGTTACTTCATGCGCGAAGTTAACGACTCACACAGTTGGAGATACTTAACGTCAAATAGATGTGGAGATGAATGTATATAGTTGATAGTTCCGTTAGAGTACGGCAGTGCGAAAATTGTATATAGTGAGTAAGGTCAATTTTGAGGAAGGTACGAATCGGATTGATCATCTCCTTTACCAAACTACCCTGTTGGGGAGGGATGGTGAGGAGTATGTGCCCACTCTAATAGTACATTCCGAGAAATGGCTCATTCCGGAAAATGGTCTTCCGGGTAGTGGTTTTTCGGGAAATGTCATACAATCACCCCATCTGGAATACGGTCGATTGGCATAGTCATTCTTACAAAAAAAAAAAAAAAAAATCAAATGGTCATGTGGTGTTTACGGTCATTTGGAATGAAATAACCGAAAACTACGGAATATATAAGTTCAGGACAGATCCACCCCTGTCATACGAACCATAACACCAGAACCGGCTTCTAGAAAAAAATAATTCACAGGTATGGAGTACGTGACAATTAGGTGAACAAGTAATTCGGAAAGAGTAGGGATTTAGCTTTCCATTAGGGTAGAGCGCTACTTCGTCGTAATCGCCCATTTCCGTTCTATCGATCAGAAAAGATTAATAATATCAATGATTTCACCGAGCGGCGCGGGTGGTGTAGTGGTAAGCGTGATTACCTCTCACACCAGCAGGCCTGGGTTCAATCCCAGTCAGCGTCGCCGGGATGTTCAGAGGCATAACATCTCTGATTACTACGGAATATATATGTTCAGGACAGATCCGCCCCTGTCATACGAACCATAACACCAGAACCGGCTTCTGGTAAAGCCGTTGGTCCCCGGTTCATGAGTTGATGGATCGATAGGTAGGGTCCAGGCGAGGGAGCTGCCTCCCTGGCGTCGGTAGCATTGGTGCTCAACACGGAAAACAAGAGCAACGGAAAACAAATCAAGGAAAAAAAAGATTTCACCGTGCACAAATAAATAATAGGTTTGTTCCAAAAGAAGCGCTCCTAGCGAATCTCGTTTTTCTACGTTTATCCGTAGGACGAAGACAATCTAATGGCGTTTCAATGTGTTAGGACGGAATTAAACTCGTAGGACGAATTTAGAATCAAGAAGCAGTAGGGCTAACTATCCCATTTCCGGCCTATTAAGCACTGTTGGCACACCTAGCAAGCGACGAATAATCGAAGCAACCTACAAATAAATGTATTCTCATAGTCTGAAATAAAATGCCATTCCAAGTTTGTCTCTCATCAAGCTAAGACGTATTTTCAAGTAGTAGTAAATCCGGTCTACGGCCATATCACATTCAAGAAGTACAACCCGCACTCAGTCTTTCTTAATCTAGCGTAGTTTAGCACCAACCGGAATGTTATTATTACTGATGGCTTCTAAATTTATTTACCTTTCCATACGTACCGTAAGATTTGATAAAGAGAAACACAATGTTGAGATATTGTTAAAAGTCTAACACTGCTTCTTGACGCCAAACTCGGCCTACAGATTCTAAACTTGGCCTAACGCATTGAAACGGCAATGAATTTACTTCGGCCTATCGGATGAAGTTGAAAATGGTTTCGGTCATTCATATCACGCGTTCTTATTGACTTCGCTCGGTAGAATTTGAACTAAAGATTTATTTGATGTTTTCTGCTTGATAGGCCCAAAATGGGCGCTTAGGCCGAAGTAGTTCTCTACCCTATTAGATTTTCAACAATATCTCCATTTTTTGATCAAATCCGTTCAAAAAAGAGTGGTAAAGCGCGAGTTGTGCTTAGTAGGACGGAAATTAGATCAAAAACACTTAGTCATCGAGAATAAATCTTAAATTCAGTTTTGTGCTCCCGAAGAGGACGGTCGTCTTTTTTACAAACATATCACGAGACCATGGCCCTTATTACCGATGTCACTTCACGGCGAAGTGACAACTTATCACTCACGGTGAAGTGATTCCAATTTGATTTACACGGCAGTCACTTCACTTCGTTTTCACCATGAACTGACACTCGTAATAAGGGCCCATATCATAGATAGTCAATTCATTTGGCAAATTTGATCTGATTTTAGAAACATGTTGAGTTAAACAAACTTGAGATAAAGTTCCAGCATATTCCTTTGCAGCATAGGGTAGAATTGATAGAAAACATTTAACCTATTAATGTACTCACCTGTCCGAGTCTAAATTTGCCAGCGGCCAGTAAAGCTTCTTATCAAAAGTATTTCCCAGTATCTGGGGATCTGCCACCAGTAAGATCTTGAGACACTTGTCTGAAATGTGATAGTTCGTTGATTTGTTTTTCAGTTGACAACGCATGCTACATACCAGTCTGGCATTCAATCTGAGCCCACTGTAAGCTGTGGAAAATGTGAATGAGGTATTCATTGTAAGCTATCAGAAGCAGTAGCGTAGATAAGTAGATCTTCCAGAATAGGTGCAATCTGCGGTGTAGGGAAACTTCTAGTTAGAATATTATTATCACACCAACTTTTTCGAACTCTTACTTTCCGATATTTCGCAATCGACACTTATCGAACATGCTGCAATAAATTAGCTTAGCACAACACGTTAAACTCACTAGCCTATTGACTAGATGTTGGTCTACTGATGTCTGGCACCGGTAGAAAAGACCAACCAAACTAAAATATTCCTCACGTAAGATAACGATTGATGAATATATGAAGAGTTTTTATTTACCTATTGATAAGGCCGATTTCTCCTAATCTTTTGCAACCTGTTTGATAGTGTTCGATGAAAATACATATTTAGGCAGCTACAGCGAAATGATTAAGCATTTTTTGGATGTTTTTGTTGTAATGTACATTGTTCGTATTCCAAGCACTTGAAACCCTAGAGTTTTAGACATCGTATGTGGGAGTTGTTTTGCCTTATCTTTCCAGTCAGGCTACACGGAAACAAATCCGATTCCATTTTCATGAATAAAAAATCATGAAATGAAAAAACTTGCCATCCCATGAAAGAGGATGCCTGTTAATGAGAGGATAATCGTTGCCAGATTTAGAACGCGGGTTCGTAACCTTACCATAATCCAATGTTATGCGCCAACCGATGCTGCCGAGCTACAGGACAAGGAGAATTTTTACAGTCAACTGAATTCCGTCGTGGATAAGGTTCCAAAGAGTGACATCAAGATCTACACTGGCGACTTCAATGCGAAGATCGGCTCTGACAACACGGACTATGAGCGTGTCATGGGACACCATGGTCTCGGCGAAATGAGCGAGAACGGTGAGCTGTTTGCAGAATTTTGTAACAATAACGATCTGCGGACGTTCCAGAAGGTGGCAGCGTAGAAGAACAATGGACGGCCATCAAGAATGCCTTTATAGAAACAAGCGAGAACAACTTGTGTGAGCTGCGCACCCAGAGGAAAGAGTGGATCACAGATGAAACCTGGCGGAAGATTGAGGAGCGTAGAGAAGCAAAAGCCGCGATAGAGCGGGCGAAAACCAGAGGAGCCAAGAACGAAGCCCGTCAACGGTACTCGGCTCTAGAGAAGGAAGTCAAACGCTCTTGCAGGCGGGACAAGCGAGCGTGGGTAAACTCCCTGGCCGACGAAGGGGAGAAAGCCGCAAACACTGGCGATATACGCCTCCTCTACGATATCTCACGACGCCTGAGTGGAGCAAGGATGAACCCGAGGATGCCAGTGAAGGACACGACTGGACAATTGCTTACCGACCCCACTGACCAGCTGAAACGCTGGTTTGAGCACTTCGAACAACTTCTTCAAGTTTCGACGGCCAACCAGCCATCAACATCTCGGCATGATCCGCCTAGGGTGCGGCGCATTACTCGCGTCAATTCCGAGGCCCCATCACTGCAGGAGATTGAAGCAGCTATCCGAAGCATGAGATCCAACAAGGCTCCAGGGTTCGATCGCATATCAGCAGAGATGCTCAAAGCTGACCCCATGCTATCCGCACAAATGTTGCATCAACTTTTCTGTAATATCTGGGACACCGCGACTTTTCCGGTCGACTGGATGCAGGGCACCTTAGTGAAGGTCCAAAAGAAGGGGGATCTGACTGTGTGCGACAATTGGCGAGGAATCATGTTACTGTGTATTCTTATCAAAGTTCTGTGCAAAGTTATCCTGAATCGGATACAGGAGAAGATCGACGTGACTCTCCGATGGCAGCAGGCAGGATTCCGTGCCGGAAGATCTTGTGTGGACCATATTGTCACGCTCCGCATCATCCTGGAGCAGGTCAATGAATTCCAAGAGTCCCTTTATTTGGTATTCATTGACTACGAAAAAGCTTTCGACCGTCTCAATCACGAGAATCTGTGGGGCGCCCTGAGACGCAAGGGAGTCCCGGATAAAATCGTCAACCTCATCCAAGCACAGTATGAGGCTTTCACGTGCAGAGTTCTGCATAACGGAGCCTTGTCCGACCCTATCCGGGTAGTGGCTGGTGTGAGACAAGGATGTATACTATCAGCGCTACTGTTTCTCATCGTAATCGACGAGATCATGGTAGGTGAAATTGACCGTGTACCGAACCGTGGGTTGCTTTTTTGGCAGACTATCACCATGGACCATCTCAACAACTTCGATTTGGCTGATGATGTTGCTCTACTAGCACAACGGCGCTCTGATATGCAGAGTAAGCTCAATGACCTAGCCGAACGCTCCTCTGCGGCGGGTCTCACCATCAACGTCAACAAGACCAAATCGTTGGATATCAACACGGGCAACCCTTCCAACTTTATGGTAGCGGGGCAAGCAGTGGAGAATGTCGAAAGTTTCCAATATCTTGGCAGCCAAATAGCGTCGGACGGCGGGACCAAGAGCGACATAGGTGCATGAATCAAGAAGGCTAGGGCTGCCTTTGCGAGTTTACGAAACGTATGGAGGTCCAACCAGATAAGTCAACGCACTAAAATCCGAATTTTCAACTAGAACGTGAAATCTGTGTTCACATAATTTTAATATTACATCCAAAAGGATGCACTTCAATCATGTCGAAAATCTCATGTAATTTTAATGGCTAAAAAAATAAACAAATGCACTAATAGCAGTGTGATTTCAGTTCATACACTGTATTAATGATAATTTTGTCCTTTTTGGCAAGTAATATTACACCATATTTTTGACACGATTGAGGTGCATCCACTTTGATGTGATATCAAAATTAATTTTTTGCTGTGTTGTTATACGCCAGCGAGACGTGGTGTGTATCAGCGGAGAACACTCAAAAGCTGCAGGTCTTTATCAACCGATGCCTGCGGTATATAATTCGTGCCTGGTGGCCTCACAATTGCATCTCGAATGCCGAGCTCCATCGTCGATGTCATCAGAAGCCGATAGCAACGGAAATTCGAGAGCGAAAGTGGAGGTGGGTCGGCCACACACTTCGACGGGGTGGAAACGAAATCTGCAAGCAAGCGCTGAATTGGAATCCGGCAGGACATCGCAGCAGAGGCAGACCCAGGGGCTCATGGTGGTGGAGCCTCAATAAGGAAATTAAGCAAGCCCAGGTCAAGGCAAAAGCGAGCAGCCACCCAGGATGGAAGGACCACGTTGGCCCTTTGCACCGCTGGTCGTGCACAGGACCCTTAAGTAAGTAAGTAAAACAGATTCTGAGATTCATCCGATTGAAAGCGCTTTCGTCTTCTTCGTCTTTTTCTTCTTCTTCTTCTTCTTCTTCTTCGCATTTCAAGCTTACTGCTTATCGCATTATTAGCTTATTGCGTGCTCTCAACTTAGTGTTCTATAGATGCATTTCCACAGTTATTAATTGAGAGCTTTGGATGCCTGTACCATTTTTGCGTTAGTATAATCAACAGTCAATACGAAACTAACGATTTTAAATTGGCTCACTACTTGACTAGCCTATTGGTCCCAAGCAAATCGACTAACGTACCCCATTCTAGTATAAATTCCAGTACTACACTATGTTTGTTTTGATTCGCTATGAAAGTTTCACAGAGGGGTTAGTGGATTTTCCTATGTTTCGAGGGGTGAATCGATTAGCTTGGGACCGAAGATAGTACCAGAGCTGAGCCAAAAAGTTGAGCTCGTTTCTTCGGGACCTTCTGGTCTTAGAGTTACCTCTATGGTATAATTGTGTGGCAAGTACAATCATACTCTATGCCCAGGGAAGTCGAGAAATTTTCCAACCCGAAAAATTCTTAGACTGAATCGGGAATCGAGCTCAGCCGCCTCCAGCATGGTCTTGCTTTGAAGCTACGCCTTTACCGACTGAGCTAATGGAGGTCCGATTGAAAGAGTACCGATTCTAAATTAGTAGGGCTTTACAGTATTCACACTACCGTACTATAACGGAACTATCAATTCTATACTTACATCTCCTCATCCATCGTATAAAATGTTCACTTTAAGCATCTCCAACTAAGTAAATCGTTAACTTTACGCGTGATGTAATATAACAAATCAAAGCAATAAAATCTAACTTACCGGTTATTGTTGCGAAGGAATTCTGAGAAGAGACTCAAGGGAGTTCCATGGATAGTTTTGAGAAGCCTTTCTAGAGAATTCTGAGAAGAATTCCATGTGATTCTTAAAATAATAGGTAGCAGAACTCCTAGATTAATTGGAGCAGAATTTCAATATTTTTCTGGAGTGAACTGCACTGGACATCTTAAGGTGAATTTAGAAAAATCATAAAAGCAGTGCTGCGTGATCGGATAATTATCTTCACTGATGATTGATTAGTTCATTTCCAATGATTATGATTAATGAATAATTATTACATTATGTGAGGTATATGACTCCCTGGCGTCGGTAGCATTGCTCCGGCACTCAGCACTCAGTTTCCGTACTGATCGACCTCAGTTTCCGTAAGATCGACCGAAAACAGATCAAGGAAAAAATATATGATTAATCACTAACGCTGTGAAAAGAACTACCATTATATTTGTTGTAAGATCTTATGAAACATATTCAGAGGATGTAAGATACCTCGATGTACTTATTTGTCGTATGTTTTGCGTGTTCATATCAAAAGTATGTTCCGCTTTCCTCGATAAAATGTGTCAAAAAACCCATCGTCTCTTTTCGGTGTATGCTTCAAGTGATACGCTTCTAACTTTGAAAATGTCTCGCATAAATCTCACACCAAAAAAAGCCCTTCTAGTACCATCGGAGTACTTGTCTAACCCAATTCTCCCATACGTTATTGCACATGATTTTACGATTTTAATTACAATTACGGCACCAAAACAGAAAAAAAGTTCATGCGATAACGGAAGCACGATTGTGTTCGTATCCCCAACACAACAACGTGTGTAGGGCAGAATAATTCTATATGTCGAGAAAAGAAATTCACTGCTTGTAGCCGCTATAGGTGAAAGTAGGGCAGTTTCGCCACCTTCAGAAAATCATCACTAATGATACTAAACTCAGTGGGAAATTCGAATGATTTTTAACCAAATGGATAGTTTCAAGCCCTATTTAGATCATGAATAATGCAACTAATTATAGACCATGTTTTCTGATTGTGAACTCTTATAACATTTTTGCCATGTTGAGCTAGTTTAACATCTTTCGAATATTCGCATTAGAGAAACGCAATTTTTCAGACTAAAATAAAATGGATAGTTGAAGTAGGCTTCAACCATTAAGCCTGCAACAGATTTTTTTTGTAGGTTAGGTTAGATTTTCTTTATAAAGGAGGCTGGGACTGGTTCGTCTCCAGAATTTTGTTTTTGAAAAAAATTGTCAATAATTTGATTTTTAAGCGGGTGGCCACATTGCCCCATTGGCTAAATTGCTCCACTTTCCCCTAATCACAGTTAGCTGTGCGGCGGAAAATGTGTGAGAGAGTGAATTCATTTTATAGACACTGGTACTGCGCGCTTAAAAACGGCCACCAAAGTGTGACAGTATTTGCGAGGTTAGTGGAAGGCAATCTATTTTTTTTTCAGGGCGATAGCAAACAGCATCGCATACTAAGCCGCTGTAGTACTAAACGAGACTCGTAATTTAGAATAGTATTCAGAAAGTGGGTCGGGTTCAGTCTGTGAAAGTTCGCGTTCGAGTGCGGATCCAGCGTGAGTGGTTTCGAGTGGAGGCGCTTGATTGATTTTGAGTCGCAAAAGCCAGGCAGAACGAAGGGGGAGCGAGTGAAATTTTGACCTTTGCTGGGTGGATCGAGACACGGTGATAAGTGCACAAGGTATGATAAGTTTAATTTTCGGTCTACTTTTAGAACACAAATGCTGGATTTAATGGTATCATGATAAACACTGATTAGCTGACCATAAAGTATTTTGCCATCGGAAAGCGGTTTATGGATTTAATTTAAAAACCATGAAGCAAGACATATATTCATAAACGAACTATGTTTAAGGTTTGGTTGAAAATATTTAACAACGATAAGCCTTGTTTTCATTGAACTATTTTATTTGATTAGTTCAAATTATTTATTGCTTTCAGTTTTAAAAGCCTGATATCGTTGTAACCTGAAATTGTAACCCACCAGTTGCAACGACTTGGCCAGGACAGCTCCAGGCGGAAGGAGACTTCTAAGAGTTAGGGATTAATCCCAAATTACTATCTATCAGTAAAGGAAGGAAATGGGCCTTCTTCTTGACAACATTTTGGAACTCGCACCTCCTACAACTTTGTGCAACTTGGTACATCATAGTATAGCTACTAGAGAGGTTCAAAATAAAGATTTTGCTCCGCCAGACTCAATTGATTCTAAATCAGGTCCTGATCCTGATCCTGAGCTTATTTTGATGCGAACTCATACTGCACTGAAGTATATATGGGAATTAGTATGGGGAAAGTGAACTTTATGTTCTTAACTTCCTAGCACTTCGCCATAATAATTTACGGAGCTAGCTATCTGCTCAAGACCACTTTTTGATTAGACTTCAAGGTAATTAGTTATTAATTGATTTCATAAACGATAACTTTCTGATATGATTAATTAAATAAATAAATAAATAAATCGACTGCTTTCAGGGCATCCTGCACTGCATCCTGAACGTATGACATAGTAGCCTGGATTTTTTGCCCTATTCTTCGTGCCACGCACACCAGTGTTGCCTGCTGAGCGGTTTATGGAGCTTTTTAGAGGAATATAATCTTCATAATTTTGTGGGTAATTACTTAATAACTAATTATCCTAACGTTCAATTCAAATGCGGTCTTTAGCAAAGTTGCAGCTGGGGACATTTCCGTAAATCATTATGAGACCAACCCCAACTTGTAACACCAATGACCTTCTAAAAAGGTCTAAAATCGCAAAAAATACCTCTAATTTCTGAAATGGCTTTTAAAACATATTGAAAATCCTCGAAATAATCGTGACAACCTTAACCACGTCAAAACTCCTAAAAAAATATTTGTTTATACACACATTCTCTTGCAATACAGTGCCTTCCCATTTCTGGCAACATCTATTACCTTCCACAGATTCGTGCTACTGCTTTCTAGTAATTTTGTCATGAAATACCAATCTGATATCGCTAAAGAAAGGTCTAGGATGATCATAAATTGAATAAAACGTTCGATGAGTTTTATATTTAGAAAGCATAGAAGTCAGAAATAACATGTGCTAAAAACGATTTAAGTCTGGCTGAAAGTCTCACTAATAACAATAACCTAACCCTAACCTGTCTATTTAAAATCAAACATATTCGTAGAACAAACATTGTCATTCGTCCAGTAGTTGTGCACTTCTCACTCGTTTCATCCAACGGATTTAAATAAAGAACAACCGGTTATTTTATTATCTTCTAGGAGGCAACATGCTGAACTGGAGGGTTGACTAACGAAAAATAACTTGCATATTAATAGTTTCCCTTGTATGTACACTGGAACCTCCATTTGCGAACCAAACCGGGGGGTTTGTAAATTGAATCGTAAAAAAACTCGTTATTTGGGATTTACTTCGTTAAAAAATCCTCGCTATTTGGAATTTACTTCGTAAATTTTTTTTTTGAAAATAAAGACTGATTAAAAGTAAATTGGTACGCACAAAAAGACCTGTAATTCGTGATTCAATAATTTTAAAAAGTCCATTAATGGTTGATTAACAGTACTTTTATTAAAACTGCAAAGTTATAGCATTAGATGGTTACATTTCTCCGGTTCGAACGAATGGATCTCATCAACGCCCGCACAGTGGAAACGGACACGGAATCAGCGCATTGGCGACAAAATCGATCTTGTTGACAGCATACCGCTCCAGAACCACCTTGGAGTAGTGGCAGCTGGCCAAATCGGGCGAAAAGATGACTTTGCCCCTATGCTTGTGGATGAATGGCGGCAATACACGCTTTTTCAGGCATTCTTCGATGTAAACTTGCAATGTCATCACCGAGGATGTGACGAATGGCTCCGTTTTCAGGGCACAACTGCAAATCACTTGCCAAACCATGGCCTTCTTCGCGAACTTGAATCTTCCCGGCACGTCCCCACGTTCAGTCGCGATGTAAAATTTTGACCGGGAAGCTGCTTAAAATCGAGTTTGACGTATATGTTTCGTCATCGATCAAAGCCCTTGTGTTTCGTCAAAACACGGTCGTACAAGAGCCTTGTACGCTTTTTGGCCATGGAATTCTGCTTCATGTGCCGGTTCAGATTTTTACTGGCTTTGTATGACTTGTATCCTTCCCTGGCAAGGATGTTCCGCGCCGTTTGAAAGTTGGCGTTGTATCTTCTGGCCACATCGCGGATCGAAAGACGTTGTCGAAAGACGTCAACACCTTCTGCTCAGCTGACGATCCCTGGTTCCAGTTTTTTCGTAGGTCCGCTTATTCCTTATTCCACACTCAGGGTTTCCTTGTAGGTTTTGAGCACTCGATAAACTGTTGTTTTTTGGCATCTTCAGCACTTTAGCCAGCTTGGACCACTCCGGATTTTCCAGGTGTTTGTGCACAATATTTTTTTCTTCTTTCGAGTTCCATTTGACGTTATTTCTGAACGCGATCGACTACTTTGATCAAACTTGCACCAGTTGTTTTCTATAGAAGTGTAAACAATCCACTGATTTTCGATTCCCCACACTATAGGCGTGCTAGCGGCGCGCGATGGGCGTATCAATTTACTTATAGTCAGCCTTTATTGTCAAATACCCCACAATATTGGTATTTTTGGAATCGGGGTGATGGGCAGGAACCGGAAATCCATGGCTGACGCCATTTTGCTTCCGAATACAGAAAACATGAACGTTCTGTCAAATAATGAGTATTTTTGGAATATGGGTATTTCAGGATTAGTCACCCCGGCTAGGAACCGGAAATCCATGTCTGACACCATTTTGAAATCCATGAGGGCGGCTTCCAGTTACAGAAAAACTGGGAAATGTCAAGGGGTGAGACTCGGGTGAGACAGTTTTACTCTGCGTTGCTTTTTTGCAGCGAGTAACTCGCGCGTAACTCAATGCACCTCAAAATTTAATCGACGTTCATCGATGTTTTCTCCTCGGCTTACTCCGTTTACCCCGAGGGGTGTGAAACATCTAAAATGGCAAGTAGATGGCAGACAAGAATAACCTCTTTTTTTAAATCAGTGTATTTTTGTCAGATTTTTTTCCTGCTTTTCGTTGGATTTGCTGCATCTACTTTTTCGATGCTGCAAAAGATGCATGAGATCACAGTTGATTTCAAGGTAGATGACAGAACAGCGATAGGTAAATATAGGATAGGAAAATACATTTTAGTGTAAGTACGTAGCGAAAAGCGTTCGTTGCGAGAGGGGCGACATATCTAAATTTCAATTCTAGATGCTCAAAATATCTCACACTAGCGAAACAATCTTCGAAAAATCTTCTTTCATTTCTCGCATCTACTTGCATCGCGCATCATCTTTTTGCAGGAAATCTTCAGAATCGTCATCAATTTTCGTTCTATCTACTCAGTGTGCGCGCAGCTAGCCACAGCAAAATACAATCTTTCCTGCATCGTAGATAGAGTTGTCCCCCTTGGTCTACGCCATTTTGAGTTCTAGGATGGTGGCTTCCGGTTAGAGCAAAATAGGGAAATACTGTCAAATAACCCTCAATATGGATATTTTTAGAAAGTGGTGTCATGTAGAGACCGGAAATATATATCTGACGCCATTTTGAAATCCAAGATTTGGAGAAAATTATTGATGTCTTCATATAAATACAGAAGTTCTCGGAAGCTTAAACATTCTTAGGACATTTGAATTAAATTCAGGGCAGTACAACCAACAATCAATACGAAACTAACGATTTTAAATTGGCTCACTACTTGACTAGCCTATTGGTCCCAAGAAAACGATTAACGTACCCCATTCTAGTCGAAATTCTACTACTACACAATGTTTGTTTTGAGTCGCTATGAAAGTTTGACAGATAAAATGAGGGGTTAGTGGATTTTCCTATGTTTCGAGGGGTGAATCGATTAGCTTGGGACCGAAGAGAGTACTCTTAAAGGTAAACTCGTTTTTGCTGATAGAGTAACCTTTAAGCTGAAATTAGTTTTATTAGATATACCTAAATTCATGTTGCATGGCATAGTTTTTAGGTTACTTACATTTCTAGTCTTTTACGTTCATTGTCCGCCTGCTTGTAACAAGTGTGTTTTTGTTAGTACAAATCTGTCATTGTGAACTGTTTTTACAATTAATATTCGTTTTAATTATAAGAGAAAATATGCCTACTTACTACAAAATAGGAATAAATCAATTCTATCCCATAGCACAAACCAGCAAGCCGGGGAAAACGCGTTTTAAGATTAGTTCGTAAATTGCTTCTTATGCGATGGAACAACCTGTTTGGTTGTTTTTTCAAACTTTTCCAGAACGAAGTTGTAAAGTTCATCCAGTGTTATGAAAATGTGTGTGATTAGCTACGGCTTACAGTTTTGATAAAAACGCAACTGGGACCGACTTGCGATAAGTGGCACGTTATTTTAATAGATATTCAGTGTTTCGGCATGGCAAGTGGATGTAATTTGCCACTTTAACTAAAATTATTAACTGTTAATCAATAAATGAAGAAGGTTCAAACCAATGACCGAAACGTCGATGATAATAGCATTAAATCAACGCTTTTTTTTCGGAATGAAACACTGTATAGCAATAAAAATATACAATGTGTGCAGTAGGGTGCTTCATTTTGCAAAGTGTGTTAAATTAATTATAGGCCAACCTCAGATTCGATTCATAACCCTAAAATTTGAGCCTGCGCATGGTTTGAAATATACATGGAAATTTCTATGGATTTCTTTAAAAAATCAGTTATATCGCCCAACATTGGTTCTACTGGTTCAAATGTAAAAAAATAAACATTTTGTTGCTATGACAATGACCAGAAAGCCTGTTGCTGTTACCATCACTTTTACTGCATATCGAGAAAGATAGAAATGTGAAACAATTACAAAAAAGAGAAGATTGACAGATGAGAATGTGCCAGACAACAGTACCAATTTCATCATAACAATAACAGGCTTGTTAACCATCATGTCATGACATCATATCAAATTTTATCGTTTGGGCAACTACAGGAAAAGTTAGAGCAATGTATGTAAGTGAAACACAATATTTTCCCATACTAATTCACCGAAATCTCCATACAAACCTCAATCCATTGGCTCATATTATGGGGTATTGCATCGAACTAGAGGGTGGCCTATAAGAAATCTATCACTTTTTTTTTTCAAAATGAAGCACCCTAGTGGTGAGGTGCTGCTCTTTATTACATACCTCCGAAGCATCATCTAATTACAACTTTGGTGAACGAGTGTGCTTGTTTTAAGTTCGTCTTTATAGCGATAATTCCACGCCATGTCATGACGGTTGTAAATTACATTTGTCGGAACTCGTGTACGGCAACATGAAATTGTAAGTTGCGCTTTAGTTTGTCTTACTAAGCCGCGCTTGTTGTTTTACACAGTGCACCCGATTTCAAATCAGTTTAAGATCATCTTCTCGAAACTTTTGCTCAGTAGTAGAGTTGTAGATTCAACTATGACAATTTGAATTTTCGATTCGTTTGTGCAGTTCTGAAAGTGAATTTGATATTTGTTCTATAGAAAATTATCTCAGGTATAACTATGACCAGACCAGATCATCCAATATCTACTGTCTGACCGCCAAGAAAGTCTCATGAAACGTTGTTTACATGTTGTTATCAGATTGAATCAATGATTAGTTGAATGCAACGTGCACTAGTTCGAAGCTTGTTGATGAAACACTTATCAACGTTTATTTACTAGCGCCAACCACAATAGGCAGTTCCAGTTATTTCGACATGTTTAGAAAAGTGTTGCTTCTGATAATCTTCCAGTAGGGGGTTCACGCTTGTTCGGATGATTTCAGTAAATAATCGCCTCTCATATTGAAGGGGCGTCAAGTAAAGTCAGAAAAGTTTCCGTCTGCCGTCTATAGAATACATTGCTCACCTATAAGAGATATCTCAAGGTGACCAATCAGCATACTGATTAATTGCTACACGCACTCGGTGCACGCTTTGCATACTAATGATCTGTTCTGAACCATACTTTCTTCAGGTGCCCAGCGCGCAAACTAGAGCTGTCAGTAGTCGAAGTCATGTCGGAGAAGTCGAATGGGGCGCCCACGCTAATCACAACGATCTCCAACAAGTATCCAACCTTTCGGGATGAACCGTTGAAAACGGTTTACCGCTGGTTGGAGGGCAAACGTCACGATGACGGTGCCGAAGGTCTTTGGCGGATACACGACACGTTGTACGACCTGACGGAGTTTGTCGAACGACATCCGGGTGGCCCTGAGTGGATTCGGCTAACAAAGGTGAGTCACTTTAAAATTTGGTTACATGTGTAGATTGTAAGAGGAATAACAATCGTCCACAGGGAACTGACATCACCGAAGCATTTGAAACGCATCACATCACCAGCAGGGCGGAGAATCTACTTCCCAAGTTTAAGGTTCGGGACGCCAAACAACCGCGAAACGTGAGACTCACGTTCAAGGATGACGGTTTCTATCGAACTCTGAAACGAAGGGTTCGCGATAAGCTGCAGGAGATCGATAAAACGCCCATCAGAACGTCTCAAGTGATAATCGATTCGCTGCTGGCAGGGGCATTCGTGTTTGCATTTTTGGCCATGAAGTTCAACAGCTATCTGCTGGCCGCTCTCAGTGGAGTTTGCGTCAATTGGACCATGATATGTGCGCACAATTACTTCCACCAAAAGGACAACTGGCGCATGAAGCTATTCAATTTGGCGTTCTTCAGTTACAGGTTAGTAGCATTAAATGCGCCCAGGTCAACCGGTTATAAACATTAAGGTGATTCCTTAAAGAGTCCACAAATGGCACCACGTAGGCTATACATGCACTTCCACTTTGAATATTCAATTTCACCCATCTCGGAAATTAATGCCCCATTTCACCTGAAATTGCTACTTCATGTATGCTGCAGTACAGCAAACGTAGAGTAATAGTTTCATTGTGGTACGTATCGCAGAAGCTGATATTTGTTCACTTAATGTTTTGAAGTGGCTACGAAAATAAGGATCTCACAGCGAAACACCTTAACAACAAATCAGTTTGCTCTTATACTTAGTTTGATACAATCTTAATTTCAAAACACTGTCAGTCTTGTTTTAATAATCAAGTCTTGACATTTTAGTGAAGTTGTCTTTGGTTAGAAGAATTAAAACTAATAATTTTTACCGAACAGTTCAGCTGGTAAAAGATCGCTTAAAATTACTGAACTCGGTTATCATTTCTAAGTGTGTAAAATCAATTTTATTAAACTGTTAAAGTGGACCACTCCTGATAAGATTTTTAAAGCAAGCTTGATTATACCAATAAAGCTAAAGCAACAATTAGTAGAAATATTAATAAAATTTCCATCTAAAGTTATTATTATTATTATTATTTATTAGTGACACTTTATCACTTCTGTGACATTCGTGTCACTTTTTTATGACAGATTGAATTATCTTACGAACTAAATTTCTTTGAATAAATTAGCATCTTTCAAATATTTAATTACTGCCTTTTCTTTGCTGGAGGTGTTTGCAAGAACATTTGTTATTGCCCCATCGATTCCACAGTTTTGCCTAAATTCGGCAAATCCTCTGCAATCCACAAGTATATGATGCACAGTAAGTCGAGTTCCACAAAAACAGCACATTGGTGGAGATTTGTTTTCCAACACGTGAGAGTGAGTCAGCCGAGTGTGCCCGATGCGTAATCTGGTAAGAGCTCGCTGCTCAGATGAATTTTTTCTGTCAACAAATTTGCCTGCAGTCGGTTTGATTTGACGTAGGTGTGCCCAGGTTTGTCTCCACACATTTTCCCAAATAGAGATGAACTAGCCTAAGGCTAAAAATCTCTTAAGAAAAGTCTTAAAAAAAAAAAAACATTTTCCCAAACACACCAAATGCTTTGTTTAATAAACCGCACAGCATCCTGGGGTGGAATTGGCATGTTTGGTGGAATTCCCTTCCACCCTTGATTGCCAGTTTGTCAGCTTCCTCATTTCACCAGAACTCCTGCGTGACCGGGAATCCAACAAAGCACAATTTTAGTTCCAATAACTTCGCGTTCAATTGCTTGGATCCAAGGATGGGTTGATTTCCCATTTTGAAGAGCGTCTAGTCGAGTCGGTAAGGTATTCGGCATGGAGACTCCTGTTACTGCTAGAAACAGATCAGATGCTCGCTTAACCACTGGTAGGTCGGCTACTGATTTGTTTTTTCCACAAGTCGTATTGCTAGTTGTGATAGGCGCTGGATAAGTATTAGACGAAATGGCAGATACCCCGCTTCAGCCATAATGGAGGTAATTGGACTAGTTCTGAACGCGCCAGAAGCTTGTCGTATCACCTCATTATATGTTGGGGTTAGAGTACGTTCCATAGCTTCGATGTTGATGCTGGTGAAACCTAGGCCGTACAGTAGCTTGGAAGTCACGAGAGCTGAACCAATGGTAAGGAGAGTTGAACGGTTGCTTCTCACTAGACGGCGTCCCAAAACTCGATGCATGTTTAATCGCTGCACACAGCTACGTTTGGTTTCTGCAAAGTGCTGAATAGGATTAATTTTCGCATCTATCAACACACCAAGAATTCGCATCTTTCTAACACGTGGTATAGGAGTACCATTGACTTTGATAGCCCGACCACGCTTTCGATGTTTCATATTGCAGATGTGTAATAACTTTGATTTTTCCGGAGCGATAGCAAATCCAACGCTCGTAGCCGTAGTTGGTTAATTCAGTAACTGCATTTCGTAAGTGTGTCCGTATTTGTGCAAAGTTTCGTTCCTTAGCAATCAAAATTACATCATCAGCGTAAACTACAATTTGAACATTTGGTGGCATCTTTTCGAAGATAGGTTGCATTGCGACTAAAAATAGTGTGACCGGCAGAATAGATCCTTGTGGTACACCGTTTTCTGCAACACGCATGCTGGATGTTGCTCCATTAGCTGCAACCCTAAATGTTCTGTGGTTAAGGAAACTAATGATGATGTTCAACAAGCGGCCGTTTATTTTCCATGTTGTCAGAGTCTTGAGGATTGCGGGTCTCCAGGTGGTGTCATAGGCTTTGGAAATGTCGAGTGATACTACTTCTGCATGTTGGTTCTCGCTGAGATTGAGTAGTGCTTCCAACTGCGCCAGGTGTGAATCGGTGCCTTTGCCAGCACGGAAAGCGTGCTGGCGAGGGTCGAGTTTGCCGTTGTTTTCAAGGTCTGTGAGGAGTCGACGGTTCACCATGCGTTCGAATGTTTTTCCTAGATAGCTTAGAAGGGCAAGGTCAGGTTTTGGAATTGGAATAACTATGCCTTCTTTCCACTCATCTGGGAATGTGCCACTTGTCCATACTTGATTGTACAACCTCAAAAGCGACAACTTCGCTGAGTATGGTAGGCGTTGTAGAAGAGGATAACCGATGTTATCATTCCCAGTGGAGGAGCCTCCTCGTCGATCTAGGGCCCACATCAATTCATCTATCGAAAATTCTTCGTTGTACTGTTTATGGTCCTTCGGGCGTAATGTTTTTGATGTAACATGCTTTTCCTTTAGTTTTTTCCTTCGAAACTTTTCTGTGTAATTTTCGTCAGATGATTTTCTTTGATATTCGTCTGCAAGCGCGTCAGCTACTATTTGTGCATCGTTGGTGACTCCTCGTGGGAGCTTCAGAGTTATCGAGTTGTTTTTTCTTTTCCCCTGTAGTTGATTGACTCGGGTCCATATTTGACTGCTAGGACTATTGGGATTTATGGTTTTCCCAACTTCCCTGCTTTGCTTCGCAGATCATCTTACGACATACTGAGCGGGCAGCTTGAAAAGCTTGGAGTGCTTCAACTTTCCGGGGATCATCGTTGCTAATTCGCCGAAGTGTACGTAATTTCTTCCTACGATGCTTCACTGCTTTTCCTACTTCGGGATTCCACCAAGGCACGGCTTTTACTCCCACTTTTCCACTGGTTCTAGGGATACTAGCTTCAGCGGTGGAAGTGATGAGGTGGGTGAATTGTTCTACGGTGAAGGACTCCTGAGGGCTCAGAGTTCTGCTACATAATTCCTCATATCGTTTCCAGTCTGCATGGTCGTAGATCCATTTTTTACGAAATCTGGGTTCAGTCGGAATGCCCGGGATATCAATCAGAATTGGGAAGTGATCGCTGTCTCCATAATCCGAGATTATTTTCCATGTAAATTTATTGGCAATGGAAGCGGTGCAGATAGAGACATCGAGGGCTTGTGTGTAAGCTGAAGCAGGGTCAATACGGGTGTGCGATCCATTGTTCAAGGCTACCATGTCTTGATCAATTGCTAGTTGTAAGATTTTGTTGCCTCTTTTCTGAGCCGAGTTTGTTTTGTGCGATATTCGGCTTCCCCAAGCAGTGGTGGGCATTCAAATCGCCTAGAAGAACAATCGGTTTTGGAAGCTCCTCAACCAAATTACGAAGTTTGTCATCAGCATTCTTATCATTAGGTGATAAATATACTGAAACCAGTGTCATTTCCATTGGTACATACAGCCTTATGGCTACTGCTTGGATATCAGCATGCAGTTGAAGTCTTTCAAAGGGTGTACCTTCTTTTACTGCCAGACCGACTCTTTGCCTACCGTGGAATGAGCAAGGACTAAGTAGAAGCTGATAGTTTCCCCCAAGGTAGTTGGCCGCAACTTGATGTTCCCAGGTGTTTGTTTCTTGAAGACATACCACTGTTGGTTGATATTTTGTAAGGAGAAGTAGCAATTCGTCACGATGCGAGCGGAGCCCATTGATATTCCATTGTATAGCAAAAGTACGAGATACTCTTCCTACTTCACTGTACGAATTGGAACTGGATGATTCTGAGAGGACATCGTCGTTAAGTGGTGATGACTCACGATAATCATTGGTGTTGGTGAGTATTGGTGTTGATGAGTATTGGTGTTGATGAGGATGCTGGATTAGTGTGGTCTGAAAGAACGCAAGTACACGAACAGAGCACGAATGCACTTGAAGTAGAGGATGCAAGAGAGGGTACTTGCCTGTGGAGCTAGGCGGCCCACGTCAGCTGCCGCCAGAGGCTCTTCGGGTAGACCCGGTACATCCCTGGTCATGGCCGACGTGGGATGCTTCGCGCTTGGCATATCACGCAGTGGAGTCTTGTAGATTTGAGAGATTGTCTTGTTATTCTTGCAGCTGGATGATTCTAGGAGATGCTTGTCATCAAGTGATGGTGACTCAGGATTTTCATTGGTGTAGAGCGGAATTGGTATTGGTGGTGATGCTGGATTATTGTGCTCTGAAAGAACGCAAGTACACGAAGAGAGTACGGACCTACTTGAAGTGGGAGAACAGGAGAAGATACTTGCCTGTGGGCTCAGGTGGCCCACGTCAGCTGCCGCCAGAGGCTCTTCGGGTAGACCCGGTACATCCCTGGTCAGGGCCGACGTGGGATGCCTCGCGCTTGGCGAATCACGTAATAAAGTTTTGTTGATTTGAGATGTTGTCTTGTGACTGCAAATATCTCTCATTACGCTTTGCTTCTGTGTTTGGTGGTATGGTTGATCATACAAGTCCGCATTGCTGAGCACATTCAGTGGAAGCTTTAGCACTTTGTTTTCGACTGATCCCCAAGAGGATTTGTTGGACACGGAGTGTCTGCCGTAATCCACCCAGGTGTTCATTCCTGACTTAGGCTCAACATTGATGCTGGTAATGGTGTCGTTATCCAATCGGTTTCCAAGGTCATGGTCCATTTTTATGCCAGAGTATTCGTCGGTTTCAG